AAAGAGATTTTCATTTTATTAACAAAATATCACTTTGGCAGCAGATGTGGAAAATGATCAGAGGGGCCAAGACCAGAAGAAAGACACCTGTTACTGAGGCAATGCAGATGGGAAGACCCAGATGTAGACCATGGCAGTGAAGATGGAGGGGCAGAATTGAGAAATACGTATAGAACTAATGGAACTTACCTAGAAAGGAGATTAACTCAATCCTTTTTCTTCCTTTTCCAAAGTTTTTAAAAGACTATGACTATCTTTTCCCCATTTCCTCCATACTTAGTATGACATTCAGCTAAGTTTGCTTGAATACCTATGTCTTATTCTTTACAAACACCACCAAGCAGCAGCACCTCCCGACCACCACAACAGCAGCAAGTGTTTATGGAGCACCTCTTACTAAATCGTACTTTGTCCAGTTTTGTGACAAATGTACATTCCTCTCTGCTTTACTTTTGCACTATCCTGTATTTTTCATGGTTCTGTGGTTTAGTGTGTATTTTCTTTTGCTCTTCCAGGACCATAGGATTTCAGAGCTTATTATTTAAGTTCTCCGGTTTTTGATATGTACTTGGAAAGTTATTTTTTACTACTTTCTCAAAGTAAAGCTCCACAAATATCTCTTATGTAATTCCAATGCATCTAAAGAGATTTAGCATTTGAGTTTTAAGTTAAATCAATAAACTGATTAAAGCCATAATTAGCAATCACTAACTTTTATACAGAAATAAACTGAAAACTATTATTCATTTACTAAGGCTCTGGTGTACTTATTTCTGTAAAGAGAACACTATACTTTCCTCAAATAAGTAATAAAATGTATATTTTCTCCTGTTCTCATGTGTACGAATTATGTTCATTTTATGGTACAGGCTATACATCTTCTGCAATACCTTCATCTGCCTGTAGGTGTAAAGGTAAAATTCAACTCCTATGTCAAGGTAAGAAATTATATAGCTGGCTAAAAGTAGTTACTTCAGTGTATACTGTTCGGGTGATGGGTTCACCAAAATCTCACAAATCACCGCTAAAGAACTTATTCATGTAACCAAATAACACTTGTTCCCCCCAAAACCTATGGAAATAAAACATTTTTAAAAATGAATATAGAAAAATAAGTTATTTTAAATGAAGTCTTATATTTATATTTTTTTCATTGTTTACATTTATTCCTTATTTCATCTTAAAAAAAAAACAGGATACATGTGCAGAACGTGCAGGTTTGTTACATAGGTATATATGTGCAATGGTGGTTTGCTGCACCTACTGACCCATCCTCTAAGTTCCCTCCCCTCACCCCCAACCCCCAACGGGCCCTGGTATGTGTTGCTTCCCTCTTTGTGTCCATGTGTTCTCAATGTTCAACTCCCACTTATGAGTGAGAACGTGTGGTGTTTGGTTTTCTGTTCTTGTGTTAGTTTGCTGAGGATGATGGCTTCCAGCTTCATCCATGTCCCTGAAAAGGACATTATCTCATTTTTCATGGCTGCATAGTATTCCATGGTGTATATGTACCACATTTTCTTTAGCCAGTCTATCATTGATGTGTATATGTACCACATTTTCTTTATCCAGTCTATCATCTGGGTTGGTTCCATGTCGTTGCTATTGAAAATAGTGCTGCAATAAACATACATGTACATGTGTCTTTATAGTAGAAGTATTTATATTGTGGGGAGTATATACCCGGTAATGGGATTGCTGGATTAATTGATGTTTCTGGTTCTAGATCCTTGAGGAATCACTATTGTCTTCCACAATGGTGGAACTAATTTCCACAATGGTGAAACCTCATTTCTTTTTCTTAACAGCAGTCATGCCATGTTCAAAAAAATACAGCTGATTTCTTCAAGAAGTCTACAACAGACTTCCCTGTACTACTTAAATTTAAAGACTGAGCAAAATGGCACAATATCAAAGAAGAAGTGTAAATAGAGAACCAGCTGCCAACTAAATGCCACCATTACTCAAAGTGTGATATCACCTACTTTTTTTAGTCATCATTCATGTATATTACAGTCTGGTCCACCAAGACTATTCGTCACATTTTTACTGAGCAATTTCTATGTGCTAGCACTGACTGTGCTAGACTCTGTAGTTACTTTAAGTCCTGCCCATAATAGCATACAATGTGGTTGAGTATTTAAATAAAAATACAGAAGCTCTTAAAAATATATATTGTACAAATTATTTTAAAGTAAAAAAATTCAGAGAATGAAAATAAAGTCAAAAATCTAGGATGAGCTTAGAAACATTTTGAATTAATAAAATAGTCAATAAGGCTGGATTAATGAAAAATGAGCACAAATATTTTTAAGACAGCAATTAGATACTTCCATAGTCATATAACTAAAAATATAATGAGAAAAGTATATTTTATACAGCTCCTTAAGATACCTGCATAGTGACAATTAGCTTAAGAACTGGTTTCTTTGAAATGTGCTTCCAATTACTGAGGGTGTTGAAAAACTTCTCTTAATTCGTTTGTCTGATTTTCTATTTCATTATTTAATTTTTAAAAATATTTTTGTAGATACTAAAAACACAGATCCAATAACTCTGTCTGAATTTTCATATATTCTGTGAATATATTTTATTGTGTAAAAGATAATGACTTTTCTCCTCCCTCCTTGGGAGAACTTAGATAAATATACCTCATGATGGAAGCCAAAGCTTCTAAACACAATATTCTCTGTTCTCTTACCTATCACTGGCTCTAAGATCTCAGCATGGCTTGGCACACCTCTTCACATTACCCTGGCCCAAACTGTCTTGGGAACAGCACAGCTGGGTTTTTTGTTTATTTGTTTGTTTGTTTTCTTTTATGCTGGGTTGCACTGATCCTGAATGAAAGCACTAATGCTTCAATAGGATAGGGGTTGGGGTAGGCAGCAGTTCATTTCTTCCAAAGCAAAAGCTGTAAGTTTAGAAGTACACTGAATATGTTCTATGTATAATCAGGACTCATGTCTATACAGCCCACTTAAAGCATATTAATGTTATATGTTTTTTTACATGTGTATCCCACAGAGATTTATAGTAGTTGCTATAATTACAATAAAACTGTAGATCAAGCATCAGTTCTTCACAAGTAACTTTTTTTTTTTTTTTTGCCAAGTTCCTAAGGATCTTACTTTATTTGGAAGTTTAGCTCTATCTTCACTATAACCTTGTTACGTAATGATGAGAATTTGTGTTTATTGAAAATAATAATGAAAATGAAGATAAAAACATTTGTTAAAAATCAGTGTTTTGCTGAATCATGACCCAGAGTATTTGAGTACACATATAATATAACATTATTTTCAATGAATTTAGTATACAATGGCTACATTTCTGCAGATTATAAACAAAAGTGTTCTCTGTACCTGCTCAATTTTGCTGTGAATCTAAAATTACTCTAAAAACTAAAGCCTATTTTTTAAAGTATTATATATATATATACTGATATGTATACATAGATATATAGTTTCTCCACATCAGATTTTAAACTAATTGGACAAAGGTAAATCTCATTGTATGAGAAATATCTTTGCCAAATAGTCATTATTTTTTGAACTTTTCAATTGTTTTATTACTTATTACTTTAACAAAAACGGCTTTACTAAACATGCTATATAAAACTTCCTGTGGGCTGGGCATGATGGCTCACACTTGTAATCCCAGTGCATTGGGGGATTGAGGCAGGTGGATCACTTGAGGTTATGAGTTCAAGACCAACCTGGCTAACATGGTGAAACCCCATCTCTACTAAAAATACAAAAATTAGCTGGGAGTGGTGATGGACACCTGTAATCCCAGCTACTCAGGAGGGTGAGGCAGGAGAATTGCTTGAACTGGGGAGGAAAAGAGCAAAAGTACTTAAATTTTCAAGGCCTGAGGATGAGGTGAGATCTGAACATGTGGGAAGTGGGTAGGTTTTCCATGGACAAAAATTATCATAAGGTCTTGTAAACAAGAATAGCATCCAAATGTTTCGGGCTGGTTCTGTTCATGACATTTAAACCCACACAGTCAGAAAACCAGTTTATAGCTGAAATTGAGATTCATATTAAATAGGTAGAGATAAGTCTGGGTAAAGAATTAATCATAGTAAATGCTTTCTGAGGATCTATTGTGTAACACTTATTTTACCTATAGCATTGGCTTTGTGCTGGTTAAGACCATTTCAACTATAGGTTTAGAAGAAAATAGTTATAATTTACAGCTAATTCACAACTGGTTCTGCTATTTAAGAAGGACTCTACTGTCTGGGTGTGGTGGCTCATGCCTATAATTCCAACACTTTGGGAGGCCAAGGTGGGTGGATCATTTGCGGTCAGCAGTTTGAGACCAGCATGACTAACATGGTGAAACGCCCTCTCTACTAAAATATAGAAATAGCCAGGCGTGGTGGCAGTTGCCTGTAATCCCAGCTACTTGGGAGGCTGAGGAAGGAGAATCGCTTGAACCCAGGAGGCTGAGACTGCAGTGAGCTGAGACTGTGCCACTATGTTCCAACCTGGGCAACAGAGTGAGACTCTACCAAAAAAAAAAAAAAAAATCAAAAAAAAACTAAATATAAACATGAATGACTCCTGGATGAAAACTCCAGTGACTCCTTAATGTGACCCCAGAATATATGAGATAGTAAAGAATGTAAAATTTTCCCTAGTGTCAGATATATTTAAATTATAGGGTAAGATTAAACCCCCATGTACTGTACTCGTCAC